GAGGAGGAGGGGTGAGGAGGAGGAGAGGAGGCGGAGGATGAGGAGGAGGAGGAGGAGGAGGAGGATGGAGGGAGAGATGCAGAGCGAGGAGGAGGAGGGAGGAGGAAGGAGGAGGAGGAGGACGGAGGGGGGAAGGAGGAGGAGGAGGAGGAGGAGGATGACGAGGCAGGAGGAGGAGGAGGACGAGATAGGAGGAAGAAGGAGGTACGATATGATGGCTGAAAGCTGATGCATTGATGATGCTGATGATGATGATGAAGCTGATGATGGAGAGAGTGCTTGATGCTGCTGCTGCTCGGATGTATGATGCTGATGAAGCTGATGATGATGAGATGATGCTGATGCTGCTGCTGCTGCTGATGATGATGATGCTGATGATGATGATGATGGTGATGCTGATGGTGACGCTGATGCTGATGCTGATGATGTTGGTGATGGTAATGGTGATGATGATGATGATGATGATGATGATGATGATGATGATGATGATGATGATGGTGATGATATGATGGTGGGGGTGATGATGAGGATGATGATGCTGCTGCTGATGATGATTATGATGTTGATGATGATGATGATGATGAGGAGGAGGAGGAGGAGGATGATGATGATGATGCTGATGATACGGAGGAGGAGGAGGAGGAGGACACGGACGAGGAGGAAGATGAGGAGGAGGAGGAGGAGGAGACGAAAACGTATCAGGAGTCCCTGGTACGTTTCGTCTCATCCTCGTATTGGCATGAGGGGGGGACGATGATGACGAGGAGGAAGAGGTGGATGAGGAGACGAGAAAGTATCATGAGCCCCTGGTATGGGTTCGTCTCATCCCCGTGCTGTCATGTGGAGGAGGAGAAGGGGGAGGAGGAGGAGGAGGAGGAACATGTGGGCGAGGAGGAGGAGGATGAGACGACACAGTACCAGTTGCCCCTGATAGTGTTTCGCCTCATCTCCGTGCTGGCATGAGGAGGAGGATGGGGACGAGGCGGAGACGAAGGAGGAGGCGGAGACGAAAAAAGACCAAGAGTCCCTGGTACTGTTTCGTCTCCCCTCCGTGCTGGAGGAGGTGGAGGAGAAAGAGGGCGAGGAGGAGGAGGAGGAGACGAACCACTACCAAGAGTCCCTGTCATGGTTTCGTTTCACCTCCGAGCTGGCATGAGGAGGAGGAGGAGGCGGAGGAGGAATATGAGGACGATGAGGATGAGGATGAGGATGATGATGATGATGCGACGAAACAGTACCAAGAGCCCCTGGTACTGTTTCGTTTCAACTCCGTGCTGACACGAGGGGGATGATGCTGATGATGATGATGATGATGAGGAGGAGGAGGAGGAGGATGAGGAGGATGAGGAGGATGCGGATGAGGATGAGGACGAGGATGAGGATGGAGGAGATGAGGATGAGGATGAGGGATGAGGATGATGATGATGATTTGATGATGAGGAGGAGGAGGAGGAGGAGGAGGAGGAGGAAGGAGGAGGAGGAGGAGGACGGCGGGAGGAGGGAGGAGGATGAGGAGCAGGCAGCCCCCCGAGGAGGAGGATGAGGAGGAGGAGGCGGAGGATGAGACGAACACGTACCAGGCGTCCCTGGTACAATTTCGTCTCGTCCCCGCGCTGGCATGAGGAGGGGGAGGAGGACGAGGAAGAGGAGGAGGAGCCGAACACGTACCAGGAGTCCCTGGTATATGTGTTCGTTTCACCTCCGTCCTGTTATGCGGAGGAGGAAGGAGGAGGCGGAAGAAGACGAGGAAGAGGAGGAGGCGGAGGAGGAGGAGGAGGAGGAGGCGGGCACGTTTCAGGAGTCCCTTGTATTGGTTCGTCCCATCTCCGTGTTGGCATGAAGAGGAGGATGATGAGGAGGACGAGAAAGACGAAGAGGATGAGGAGGAGACGGAGGGGGTGGAGGAGGAGGAGGAGGAGGCGGCGGCGGAGGAGGAGGAGGAGGATGACGATGCGGATGAGCAGGGGAGGAGGCGGAGGAGGAGGAGGAGGAGGAGGAGGAGGAGGAGAAGGAGGGAGGAGGAGGATGATGATGATGCGGAGGAGGCGGAGGAGGAGGATGCGGAGGACAAGGAGGAGGATGATACGGAGGAGGAGGGACGGTGATGCTGAGGATGATGATGAGGAGTAGGACGACAGCGACGAAGATGATCAGGATGAGGGGGTGGATGATGAGGAGGACGATACGGATGAGCAGGGGAGGATGAGGAGGAGGAGGAGGAGGAGGAGGCGGAGGAGGAGGAGGAGGAGAAGGAGGAGGAGGAGGAGGAGGCGGGAGGAGGATGATGAGGAGGGGGAGGAGGAGGCGGAGGAGGAGGAGGAGGAGGAGGAGGACGAGGAGGAGGAGGTGGAGGAGGAGGAGAAGGAGGATGATGAGAAGGAGGAGGGGGAGGAGGAGGAGGATGAGGAGGAGGAGGAGGAGGAGGAGAAGTAGGAGGACGAGGAGGAGGAGGAGGAGGAGGAGGAGGAGGAGGAGGAGGTTGGTTAGGAGGAGGAGGAGGAGGATGCTGAATGCTGAAACTCTAAGAGGATGGTGGCTCAACCTGGTCACGCCAGCGGTTCAGGGCCCTGGCGCGTGCACGACAGTGCACAAGTTACGGCGACGTTGCCAGGCCTGAAAACAAACTAACCTGAAGCAGCTTGTTCTTTCAGACGAATTCTCTCGGCGAGGGCAGCCATCCTGGACTCGTAGGTCGGGGGGCCCTCGACAACAGGAGCTATGGAAACACGGGTGGTCTCAAGCTTTGGACGCCTCGAGGAGGAGGAGGAGGAGGAGGATGCGGTTGAGGAAGAGGAGGCGTCCCCGTTTTGACGATACGGTGCCCCGCGTCTCCTCCCTCCTGGGGGCGCCATTCCTCTTGGGGGGAAGGAGGAGGAGGAGGAGGAGGAGGAGGAGGAAGAGGAGGCGGATGAGGATGATGAGGAGGAGAGGAGGAGGAGGAGGAGGAGGGAGGTGGAACGAGGAGGAGGAGGAGGATGAGAAGGAGGATGATGGAGGAGCAGGACGAGGAGGAGGAGGAGGAGGAGGAGGAGGAGGGAGAGGAGGAGGAGGAGAGGAGGTGGAAGGAGGAGGAGGAGGAGGAGGAGGAGGAGGAGGAGGAGGAGGGGAAGGAGAAAGGCGGTGAGGAGGACGGCGGGGGGTGCGGGGGGGGGAAGGGATGAGGGTTGAGATGCTGGGGCGCGGAGGAGAAGGAGTGAGAACGAGGAGGAGGAGAGGAAGCAGAGAAGGAGGAGGGAGGAGGAGGAGGAGGAGGAGGAGGCGGAGGAGTGGTTTTTGGCAGGCGGCAGGCGGCGGTCGCTGGGTTTGAAGCGAACGCCCCTGACCGCAGCTCGATTGTCGGTCGTGGATCTCGTGAAGCTGTGGGGCGGGGGCGGCGCAGGGCCGGGGAGGGGAGGGGCGGGGCGTTCCGCCTCCTCCCCTCCCCCTCATCCTCCTCCTCCTCCCTCCTCTTGCTCCCTGCTCCTCCTCCTCCTCCTTCTCCTCCTTCTCCTATATTCCTCCTCCTCCTCCTCCTCCTTCTCCTCCTCATCCTCCCTCCTCTTCCTGCACCTTCCCCTTCCTCCTCCAAATCTGTAACTTGTACCAACTCCGTAGCACTGGTATACAAGAACGAAGAGGAGCAGCGCAGGAGACGGAGGAGGAGGAGGTCGCCCATATGGTACACGTGTGCCAAAACTGTGACCTCCTCATCCTCCTCCTCATCCTCCCTCCTCTTCCCCCCCTCCCACTCCTCCTCCATCGTTGAAACATTGTACCAACTATGTAGAAGTTGGACAAGAGCAAAGATGAGCAGCGCAGGAGGATGAGGTCACATATTTGGCACACCTGTACCACATATGTGACCTCCTCCTCCTCCTCCTCCTCCTCCTCCTCCTCCCCCTCCCTCCTCTTCCCCCCGATCCCCCTCCCCCCCAAACATCTGCAACTTGCACCAAATCTGCAACACTGGTGCAGGAGCAAAGGGGAGCAGCGCAAGAGGAGGAGGAGGAGGAGGAGGAGGAGGAGGAGGAGGTCATAGTATACCTGTACCAAATATGTGACGTCTTCCTCCTCCTCCTCCTCCTCCTCCTCTTCCTCCTCCTCCTCCCTCCTCTTCGCCCCCCTCCCCCTCCTCCAAACCTGTAGCTTGTACCAAATCTGTAACATTGATACAAGAGCAAAGAGGGACAGCACATGAGGAGGAGGAGGAGGATGTGGTCACATATGTGGTACAGCTGTACCAAAAGTGTGACCTCCTCCTCCCCCTCCTCCTCCTCCACCCTCCTCTTCCTTCCCCCTCCGCCTCCAAACCTGTAACTTGTATACCAAATCTGTAGCATTGGTACAACAGCAAAGTGGAGCAGCGCAGGAGAAGGAGGAGGATGAGGAGGAGGATGTCACATATTTTGGTGCTCCTGTGCCAGATCTGTGACCTGCTCCTCCTCCTCCTCCTCCTCCTCCTCCTCATCAGCGTCATCATCATCATCATCATCATCATCATCATCATCATCATCATCATCATCATCATCATAATCATCATCATCCTCATCCTCATCCTCATCTTCCTCCTCCTCCTCCTCATCCTCCTCCGCATTCCTCCTTTGCATCCTCCTCCTCCTCTTCCTGCTCCTCCTCCTCCTCATCTCCATCATCAGCATCATCAGCATCATCATCATCATAATCATTCTCATCCTCATTTCTCCTCCTCCTCCTCCTCCCCACTCATCCTTTGCATCCTCCTCCTCCTCTTCTTCCTCCTCCTCCTCCTCCTACTCTTCCTCCTCCTCCTCCTCCTCCTCCATCATCATCATCATCATCATCATCATCATCAGCAGCATCATCATCATCATAATCATCCTCATCCTCATCCTCATCCTCATCCTCATCTTCTTCCTCCTCCTCCTCATTCCTCCTTTGCATCCTCCTCCTCCTCCTCTTCCTCCTCCTCCTCATACTCTTTCTCCTCCCTCCTCTTTCCCCCTCCACCCCAAGTCAGTCACAGGTCGAGAGGGCCGCTGTGTTCAGTGGTCGCTTAGGTTCTTCGGGGGGTCGTCACGGTACTCTTCGCTCTCGGGATGGTCAGAGGCTCTTGGGGGCTTTGGAGCGTTTCTCGCCACCGTTTGCTTCTGGGATCCTTGGTCGTCCCCTGGAAGGGGGCGGGAGGAAGGTTGGAGGAGGCTGCGGGAGGAGTCAGATAAAAAAAAGTGCGGTCCTGGTACTCGTCCAAGAACTTGCCGCACGCCACGCTCACGGGCCTCGCCCTCCCCGCGGCCTTGACCCAGACCGCGTCTGAGTCGATCTTGGCGATGGTCATCACCGTGCGGTCGCCACTGCGCAAGACCACCGTGGAGCCTACGATGAAGCCCGCTCTCGCGATCGCCGCCGCGGTCACCGACTGGCCAGCGTACTCGACCATGACCTCGCCGCTCTCGGGCGTCGCCTTCTCGTCGGGGTCCGACGCATCAGTCCACGGCTGCAGCAGGTTCCGAGACAGCGGGTCCTTCTTGGCGACGTCCTCCAAGAACTGGTTCGCGACCGCCCTCAGCGAGCTGAACTGCGGGCGGCCCTTCGCCTTCTTGCCATGAATGAACATGACGAAACGAATCTCCGCGTCCGCGAGCACTCGAACCTTGTCCGTGTGGCTCATGCCCGTCACCTGCGGCAGCCATGCCTTGGCGGCGCGGATGTACGCCACGGCCTGGTCGACCAAGATCTTCTTGGAGCCCGTCACCTGCTGAGCATCGCTGCTGGTGATGAGCTTGGACACCCCATCGCGAACGAAAGCCTCTGGAGCCTGAATGGCCGCCTTGACCATCGCAACGATGTATTCTGCACCCTGGCCGTACTTGATGCCTGCGATGATCTTGAACGTCCTCGAATCGACGTCGCGGAGGAACCTGCACGTCTTTGACCACCCATCGAGATCGTGCAGCCAGATCGGCACGGTGCCGCCCGAGTAGTGCTTGACGAACTCCCCCAAGTCCTCGCACTGGCCGCTGAGATAAGGCGCGGTCCGCTCGAGCGACGCCGCCAGCCTCGACCAATCCACAGAGCCGACCAGCTTCTGCTGCGCAGCCGCCCTCTTGTGGATGGAGAGCATAGTAGCTATCTTCGAAGGCGCCTGCTCAGTGTCGTGACCGCTGTTGCCTGCCACCTGCAAGAAGCCCGCCAACTCTGGACAGTAACTCTCAACCTGGTGCTTGATGCACAAGAAATCGATGCCGTGGTCCAGAGGTTCCGCGAAGGATGGCGCCAGCTGCAGCACCTTGTCCCTCGAGACGCGGTTCCCAGCCGAAGTCTCGACCTCGTCCGTCAGACTGCCGTACCTGGCGATATTACGCCGAGCCCGACCGCGACGCATGGCGCCACCACCTCTCACACCTCCCGTCCTTCCGACGGATCGCCGTCGGCGCCGCGATGGGCGGGAAGTCGGGGGAGGTGGCGCGATGCGCGAGTCAGCTCTTGGAGGGTGGAGCGCGCTCCTGCGCTCAGTTCCCCTCCTCCCCCTCCTCCTCCTCCTCCTCCTCCTCCTCCTCCTCCTCCTCCTCCCCTTCCTCCCCCATCCTCCTTCTCCTCCTAGCTCCTCCTCGCCCTCCTCCTCCTCCTCCCGCTCCTCATTCCTCCTGCCCGTGGGCACTTCACGCAGCGGACGCCAGCTGTACAATGGGACCCCGCCACTGTGAGGAAGCGCAGCTGGCCCTCGTTGGAGAAGGGCGCGAGGTAGCCATCTGGCGCCACTGCGAGATCCTGATTGAACTTCCACTGAGCTGCACCGCGAGCGCCTGGCGGCATCTCGAAGCATCGAGCTGCTGCCACCTCCACCTTCGACCACCCCTGGCGCACGACGCGGAGAAGCACCTTGTGCACGTTGCATACTTCTACGCCGACGCCGCCACGATTGTCGCTGTGCACGCCGACGTGGGCCACGTCGCAGTGCTGGCGGTATGCCAGGCCATGCTCGAGGAGGAGCGAGCAGATCTTGTCGGCTGCACTCTTGATCTCACTGATGTCACCATTGAGATGCTCACTGGCGAGCTTGTTGATCGCGGGCGCGACCAACTTCAGGGCCTCCTCTAAGTTGGAACCCTGCATCCCTGCACTGCTGCAGGGAGGGAGGCCTCAAGAAAGCCTCGAGCCAAAATGGCTGCAATGGCGGAGGGGTGGAAGGGGGAGGGGCATGAGGAGCCTTGACGCTCGTGGCGTTTCGAATCGTTTGCGATCTTCGGGGGCCCGTGTAACCATCCAGGACGGGCGCAGCCCTCTGGGCGTGAGTGGGGGGTTCTCTGGTCATATAGTCTCCCCCTTCGGGGAAGGGCTTGTTCCTTACTGGGCCCCGCGGGGCCGACTCTTGGGGTGTTGTTTATTGTTGACACCCCCCTACTCCTACTACTACTAGTACAGCTACGGATGAGGATGAGGATGAAGATGAGGATGAGGATGAGGATGAGGATGATTATGATGATGATGGTGCTGATGATGATGATGATGAGGAGGAGGAGGAGGAAGAGGAGGAGGAGGAGGAGGAAGAAGAGGAGGAGGAGGATGCAAAGGAGGAATGAGGAGGAAGAGGAGGAGGAGGAGGAAAATGAGGATGAGGATGAGGATGCTTATGATGATGATGATGATGATGCTGATGATGAGGAGGAGGAGGAGGAGGCAGAGTAGGAGGAGGAGCAGGAAGAGGAGGAGGAGGATGCAAAGGAGGAATGAGGAGGAGGAGGAGGAGGAGGAGGAGGAGGAATATGAGGATGAGGATGAGGATGAAGATGATGATGATGATGATGATGATGATGATGATGATGACGCTGATGAGGAGGAGGAGGAGGAGGAGGTGGAAGAGGAGGAGGGCGAGGAGGAGAAGAAGGGCCGCTAGGGTCTGGTCCGAAACGGTCCCCTGGGGCCGCCCGAGGAGGAGGAGGAGGAGGGCCGCTAGGGTCTGGCCCGAGGAGGAGGATGAGGAGGAGGGCCGCCGCCGTCGTAGTACACCCTGTTTTGGTCCTATGGCCAGACTGTGTGCAATGGCCAGACTGCATGCAACGTGGGTGCTGTACAAGCACTATTCAGCGAAGGCCCAGTGCAGGCCATCAATACATCAGCTTGTGATGGCTGGCAACATTCAGGAAGTCGGCCCAATTCTGTGCATCAGGGCCAACACTGAACTTTTGCACAAGCATGGCGTGGTACATTGACACTGCGAGCTTGCGCGTGTACGGCGCTGCGCCACCCCTGAAAAATGGGCCGTTCCGTCCAACCCTAGATGCGGCACCATGCACGTCTATAAACGTCACGATATCTGAGATCTCGGCGAGGATCGGCGACAACGCACGAATCACGCCCCAATACCGATCCTGATCCATGTACCCGACTCCGAGTGTCATCTCCAGCAAGTCGCCGTGGAGCTCGAGCCAGTGGTTGGTGTCATGTGTGCGAGGCCACCTTGTGCGCACCATCTTTTGAAGCACCTTCCACTTGCTCGCCACCAGTCTGACATTCGGGGAAGGGCCTCGGCGGCCGAGAACGTGGTGCGCCATCTGCCCCAGCAACAGCCAGAACAGCGTGTACACGAAGTTGCCTGGGTCAAACCAGCGCTTCCTGTCCCAGACGGCCCCCCTGTACGAGAGCATTTTGATATGTGGCCAGCAGATATGCGTCGTTGCAAGCCCGATGATGCCAATCGTGTCCCTGCAGCCAGCCTCGCTGAATACATTGTAGAACTGGTCGTAGAGCCGGTTCAAATGAGGCTTGAACTCTGCATTTAAGTCGTACATGTGCAAGGTGAGGCACCTCCTTGGATCGTATATGATGGCATCGGCGGTTTGCATGAGCGGGTACTTGTTGGCATGGCCCACAGCCTTCCACATCTGGAAGAACACGCGCAAGAAGGAATCGTTCACCAACCGTGGACGGGCAACCTGAAGCATCGCTGTCTCCGAGAGATAGCGTGGGTCAGAATCAACATGCTTGAACCCAAAATGGTTACGGACCTGTTGAGTGCACCTGCGTGGCCCTAAGTGGTACAGGGTTCCGATGACCCGCTCGGATTACCAACGTGATCTGCGGGCCCCATATGGCTCCCGCCTGAGACTTCCTCACAATTCACTCAGAGACGAGGCTCCCGCCTGAGACTTCCTCCAAATTCAGGCTTATAAGTCTGAGTGTTGAGTGAGTATGTGTGATCCTGTGGTCCTTCCTTCCTGTTCCTGTTCCTCAGGCGCGGTGAAGTAACACAAAGAACCCCATCATAGGATATGGGGAACAAGTGGAAAATCAATGGTTTTTGCATTGTTGCCCGCTCGCTTCCGATGGCCTCCCAGAGCCTCCAGATTGCCCCGTGATGGCCCATGAGGGCCCCGAGAGATGCCCAAGGGAGCTCGGATGCGGCCGCAAAAGCGCTCAAGAGTGCGGTTCGGCTGTCCCCATCTTTGATCCCGCACTTCCCTGATCACCTCAGCTCGTGTGGACATCGTTTCTGGATGGGCCGATGGGGGGTGCGCGAAGCGCTTAGACTTTATACTGTGACCGTCGAAGCGATGGCGAGCGGCGCGCCGACTACCCCGCTGCGTCTTCGTTTATGCAGCGGCAGGTGACGCTGGCGGGCACCCGCAGATGTCCTGCCAGCGCGCCGTATACGGCGCGCTGGCAGGACATCTGCCGCGTGGGCAGACGGGCATCGGCGGCGGGGGAAGAGGCGGAGGAGGGTGATGATACCACAACTCGCCAAATGCAAACCAATGCAATCCGACGCCGAATCGAAGGCACGATTTTGTTTTTTCGGGAAATCGCTTTCGGGGCCCTTGGATTCGAGATCGAATGTTTTTTTTTCGAATTTGTCGGCCGACCCCCATCAGGCGCGTCGTGGTTATAACACAGTGTGCAGTGGTCGCGCGGACGTGCGCGCATGGCAGCGCGCGTGCAAATTGCTGTTGCACAAAATTCAACGCCCCGACTTCGATTGGAATCAAATGTGGCACGCCTCGTGTGTGAATATTTCAGCGTTCGATTTGTTGGGTTTGTGTGACTGAAATTCCGCACGCGGGGCTTGTAAATCACGCCTGCGGGGCTTTGCTAACCTGATTAGCGCTACTTCGTAAATGGCATATAACTTGAAATAACTGCTTCCGCTAATCGCGCTAATCGATTACGGTGGTTACAATAACCTGGTTATAACTCCATCCAACCATGAGCTCGCAATTATTGCAATTGCGTAAGTGCCATAACGGATAACATTGGATTTATCTCAATTGTTGTGAATAGGCGAAGTTAGGGTCAAGTTGCACCTCGCTTATAACATGGTTGCGCATGCATATAAATCCGACAATCGATTACTAAACGCCGCATCCATTCCAGTAGGGCTCAGGAGACAGATGTTCCGGGCTTGCTCGTCGTTCTCATTTGCAACAAGAACTCGGCGCCCAGAACTGTAGCCAACCCGCGCTGCAGCCCATCCTGCAGGTTGCCCCCGCAGAGATACTGCTGCAGGTTGCTGTTCAGTTGTATTTTTGCCGCCCACGCGCATCTGCGGGTTGCCCAGTCGCCCAGGGTGCAGCCGACCGCTTTCATCGATGGCTTCATCTTGGCCAGCCACGGCAGCAAGCCTCATGCATTGCTAGCTGATCTTGCCGCGGCCTCAGCCAGCATGCCCCAGTCGATCGTTGCCGATCTGCATTGCGGCATCGCCACACACAGGGCTGCCATTGTGGCGCCCGCGCCGGTGATCAAGGCAAATCTGTCGGCCAAGTTGGGACAGTGGGCGGGGCCCGAGGCTGGCCTAGCTGAGCCCGCTGCCACTAATTGCAGGAGCCAGACTAATGGGCGAAGGCAGAAGACTCCCAGAGGGCGCGCAGTGATGTTGCGAATGCATCTTCGCCCAGTGAGTGCTCTGCCATCCGCGGGCGCAGGTGCCGAGAAGATGCGGAACGCCGCCAGCAAGCTGGATATTGCCAACAAGTTGTAATTGCCGAGGATTTCCAGGGGGCGCAACATCTGTTCCTGAAGGTCACGGAGCTTAAGTGCACCACTCGTTCAAGTGCTCTTTCGCTTGGTGTCCTCGAAGACCCCACCTGGGGTTCGGCCTTGGGGCCGTGTATTTATCGGAGTATGGTCGTCTTCCGAGCTGCCCGGGGCCCTCGGACATCCGAATTCATGCCCCCAGAACTTAGACGTCTTGCGCCGCTGGCATCCTTGAAAAGTGCCCCCTTCAGGATGGGTCGCGCTGGGGCTCCTCTTGGAGCGGTCTATCCAAGTTTACCCAGAGTCGGCCGGGCGCGGGCCGGCCTGGCGACGCGAGCAAGGATGGCGAGGTCTACGCGATCACAACCACCGCGCTCGCCCTTCGTCGCCGATAATTGGCGGCAGAGTGGCGAGAGCCGTTGGCCGACCAGGCCGCCATGGCGAGAGGGGTCGGAGCAGTTGACCTCTCTCGCGCCAGAAGCGCTTGCAGACAGAAAACTGACGAATCAGGATCGCAGACTCACGGCGTCGCACCTGGCCCGCCCCACCTGGGCCAAGAGCAGGCTGAGGGATGCTGGATATGAGGCGGTCGCGCCGTGCATTCGTGAACCCCCCCAGGGCCGCGTCGGCCAGGGGCACCCGGAGCGCCCTCGGAGCGCTGTGCTCCGAGAGGAGTATATGGATGAAGGAGATGTCGAAGCCTTGGCAGAGCCCCGAGCCGTTGCCGCGCGCGCTGGTTATTTTGGGCCTCCGCTGTTTAGGGTCCCTGGGCCGCCTGCTTTAGGTTTGGCCGACGCGGCGTTTTTGCCCCGACATGGCTACGCGCTGGCCGGAGCATTTGTTGGCGGGGTTTACGTTGACGTGCGTGTGGCCACAGACGGCCACCAGCGATTTCGTGCCATTGGCTGGGCATCTGGAACGTGCGATCTTAATGGCGAGGTAGCTACGTACCTCTGTGGCCCAGTAGGCAGAGCTCTCCCGCCCACTCGCCAGCTGCAGAAATTCTAGCGCACCTGGCCACCCGCCGATTTCGAGGATCGACTACGATTCATTATGGTTTCAAAGGTGTGGTCGCCTGCCACCACTTTCACAGGCCATCCAGTAGGAATCAAGTCTGTGATGGTCTAAGGCCGAAGGCCAACTTAGGCTGGGCCCGCCGAGGCGGCGGGTTCGAGGTTGTCAATGTCGAAGCAAACCAACATGTAGATTATCTGGAGCGTTTCTCCGGGCAGTGGAGACACGCTTCCGGCAACGATGGTTCAGACCGAATTGCCAAGCTTGCAGCTTCCCGCCTGCCCTAGCCCTCGGAAGCTGAGCGAGAGACTCAGAGACAGCTCGATCAGATAATGTAGTGTTTCCTTCGGTACGTGCCGAAGGCCCTGGCTATGTGGCCTGCTATTGCCCCGAGGGTTGATGGGAAAGGGCTAGATGCCCCTGTCCAGGTAGCCAACCCAGCAGTAGGTGCGATGTCAGTCGCGGGGGTGTGGCTAGGTGAATTTAACTCAAGGAGCGGTGCCCTGGCAATGCTGTGGCCCTTGCCAAGCTAGCGCTGCAACCCAACAACCACCATATCTTTGTTTTTGGCCGTATTGATGATGAGAGTTTCGTTGTTGCCTGTTCCTAGTGAGGTAAGTATTCCAATTTCACCTTGAAGGGCCTACACACGAGTTGCCCCAAGCGTTTTGTTTCCATCTTTTCGAGGGGAGCCTACGAGCGCCAGGTGGGAAGACACTCCAAGGCCTCAATGCAGAGCCCTGTGGTCTTCGAGCCCCCGACTTCGATTGCCCAAGTTGCCAGCCAGGCAGCCGAGGCTGAAGCGCTCGAGTCGCCGTAAGCGAAACCGAACCTTTTCCGAATCCGTGCGATGGTCCTCGATCCTCCTCCTCCTCCTCCTCCTCCTCCTCCTCCTCCTCCTCCTTTTTCTCTTCTCTCCTTCTCCCTCCTCCTCTCTCCTCCGCGGGGGCCGTCCCACGGGGATCCACGGGGCGCCTTCGAGCTCTCGTGGTGCTGGTCTTCGGCCGGGCGCTGCCGTGGGCAGCGTTCTCCCGCGCGCCGCGCCGTGACTTCCTCACGACGACGGCCCCCAGGGGGCTGGACCCTTTCCCGGAGCCCGTTTTTCGTCCCGAGCCCTTTTCGTTGACGGCCCCTGGGCCCTGCGAGGGCTCTCTGGCGCCGAGGACGGCCAGAAACCAACCGTCGTGATTCGTCACGACGCGAGCACCTCAGTTTTCGGGCCATAGTTCGGGCCTCCCGCCCCCGTTCGGGGTGATCGGGGCACCCCCGGGACGCCCTCGGCGAGGCGCAGCCGAGGGAAGCCATCCCAGGCCTCGAAACACTTTTGAGAAGTGTGGTGTGTGTGTGTGTGTGTGTGTGCCATTGGCGCGTAGGCACTGCCATGTGATGCCCTTAGACCCGAAGGGGGCGAGGGAGGTAGTGATAGAGAGGGCGTGACAGTTATATATGCAGAGAGAGAGAGAGAGTGAGAGAGAGAAAGAAAGAAAGAAAGAAAGAAAGAAAGAAAGAAAGAGAGAGAAAGAGAGAGAGAGAGAGAGAGAAAACGAGAGAGGGAGAGAGAGATAGAAAGAGAGAGAAAGAGAGAGACATTGAAAGGAATAATGTTACTTGTGGGGAATCTTCCATCCGAGCCTGCCGCCTTCACTAACCCAGACGTCTGGTGCTCTAACGTTGTTCGATGCGTGCCCCCAAGGAGATCTGGGCCACCTCCCCAAGGCAAGTTTATCGTCCTGAGTCCGTTTTTGATTGTCCTGGGGCCCTGTTGAAGGCCCCCAGAGGCCGAACATTTTCCCAAACTGGGCGCTCCAAGCTTTCAAAGCCTTGGATCTCTGGATGCGAAATCGGCCCCCCCCCACCCCCCCGCCAGGATGTGGCGGCGACTACAAAGGGTGTGGTTACGCCAGGGTGTGGTTTGCGATCGGCGCCGTTGGGGCTGGGGGGCTCGGCACTGTGCTTGTCGGGCCTCCTCGGGGCGCGGCGGAGAACTCAATCGAGGTCCCCGCCCGCCCCCCCGGGGTGTCCCCCAGGGTGCCGGTTGCAAGCCACACCCTTTGCAAAACACACCCTCTGCAAACCACTACCCATGATTGGCATCGCGTGTCCCGCTTTGTCGTTTCTGCGCTTTGGGGTTGTCGTTGCGTCCCCCTCGGCCTCGTCTTCCTCCTCCTCTCCCTCGTTCCCTCGTCGCCCTCAAAAAAAAAAACGAAATCCGTCGTAACGCTCGGCTGGTGAAAAAAAAAAGCCACACCCTCTGCAGAGCACGCCTTCTGCAAGCCACTGCATCGCCTCCTTTCGATGCCGGCCTTAAGGTCCCGGTGGTCAGGGGCGCAGCCCCGAGATCGTCGTTGCATTTTGTCCTGCCAGTCCCTGAGATCCGACGTGGCGAGAAGTTGCCACCTCGTACGACCTCACGCCCGCAACCCTAGACCCCATCTTTCTGCGTCACCTTTTGAGGCGGATCGATCTGTGAGGGTCCTGGGGCCCGAGGAAGAGCGGAAACGCCCAGTTCGAAGAAAGTGAGACGGCAGGATCTCAGGGATCTTAGTGGGGGGCCACATGCGAACCCTACCCCTACCCCCCACGATTTCTGAAGGGGAGGGTGGGGTTCACTTCGTTCGGGACCTCCCGAGCGAAGTGCCAGGAGGAGGAGGAGGAGGAGGAGGAGGAGGAGGAGGAGGAGGAGGAGGAGGAGAGAGATGGAGGGAGGAGGCGGGGAGGAGGAGGGAGATGGAGGGAGGAGGCGGGAGGAAGGAGGGAGGAGGAGGAGGAGGAGGAGGAGGAGGAGGAGGAGGAGGAGGAGGAGGAGGAGGTGGGAGGCTGCCCCCCTGCGCCAGGAGGTGTCCCTCGGCCCCGACGCCACCTCCCTGGGCCCCGTCGAGCCGCTCGGCGGGCCGCCGGGCCGCGGCGGGAGGCCCCGCGACCCCGGGAGCGAGGCCGCGTCCGACGCGGACCGCGAGGCCCTCAAGGGGTCGTCGTCTTCCTCGTCGTCCTCGTCCTCGTCCTCGTCCTCTTCGTCGTCGTCGTCGTCGTCGTCGTCCTCGTCTTTGTATGCGGGCCTGGAGGGCCATGAGCCTCCGCAGTGGATTCATCGTCGATGGTCCCACGAAGACCTCGACGCCGTGGGGGGCGTAACCGGTTTCAAGGTGCGGGAGTTAACGACGAAGTTGAAGCAGGACAAAACGTGTTCTAAAGAGGACCTCTTGGTTGCCGAGATGTTGCAGGCGATGCCGGAGGAAGCTTTTGAAGTTCTGGCAGAGTGTTTCGTATTACGCTTACTTAACCATGCTGCCACGGACGAGGATGACCTTTTCGATTTCCACGAGATTTTTCTGCTGGAGAAACTTGCCAATGCTGATAAAAGACTTCCGCCCGATTGCAATTTTATCGGTATTGTACAAGCTGTACAGCAGCCTGATTTCTGAACTGGCTGGCATTCGCAATAAACCACTTGGTGACCATCAGTTTGCTTATCGCAAGTCCTTTCAAGCAAATGAGATACAGTTTATTCTTAGGATGCTGTGTGAGAAAGCGGTCGAGTTCAACAAGCCTCTTTTCCTTTTCGACGGGGACATTTTCAAAGCATATGATACAGTGGCCCATGACGCTTATGCATTGGGATTGCAGCAGGCCGGCGTGGCTCGTATACTCATTGCGGCGCGCCTGAGGGAAGTGCGCAGAGCACAGAGTCGCGTGAGGTTGCCGGGGAAGCCCGTGTCAGAACCTTTCCGTCGTACCAGATCGATTTTTCAAGGGGACCCGGAGGCACCTGTGGATTTTAATCATGTTCTCCATCAGCGGGTTGTTCTTCCTTTCCTGCGGACTTGCGACAAGTATCGATGGGGCGCTGAACTGTCTCACGAGGACCTGGCAGTACTTCGGGACAGTCGTAACGGCGAGCCGGCCCCGACCACAGCGATGCAGGACACGGAGCGTTTGCCGATTCTTCTCTTCGCAGACAACTACTGGCTCCTGGCGCAGAGCGAATGCCAACTTCGTCTCATGACGGATTGCTGGCACAGGCTGCTCGCGCAAGCAGGTTTTCGAGTGGAGCTCCGGGATTGCGTGTGGACTGCGACTCACACGGCACGGGGGCCATTGATCATCAAGAACCCCTGGGCGAAGCCTCAGACCGGAACCGGCGACGTCATTATTAACCATAAGCAAAAACATCAAAGCATCCGTATTCTTGGGGCCATGTTTACCGCAAACAACGATTGCACCAACGAGGTTGAAAATCGCATCACCAGGGCATGGGCAACTTTTTACATATACAAGGACATTCTTACTTCAAAGTGCGGATCTTTGAAAGAAAGGCTGCTTGCTCTAAATCGCTATGTGTTGCCGTGTCTCTTGTACAACGTCGGCAGTTTGAACCTCACGCAGCGCCATCTACAGAGATTCCGGGCCACCGAAGATGCTATGCAGCGACGGGTTTTGAGCCTCAAGGTGCCCAACGAGTGGGGGGACGACACTGGCGATTACTTGGCAGTTTGTCATGTACACCTACAGCGATACCGCCAGAAATACAATTTGGAACGCTGGCATGTTAGCGCTTTGTCTCGAGTGTTCGACTGGGCGGGACATGTAGGAAGATTTTCAAAATGGGCCCCGGAGCGGCTCGCACACAAAGCATTGGTGTATCGCGGTGGGGTTTATTTGCAAACGCTGGAAAATATGTTTGGCCAACAAGCACACGGACGTAAGTTCAAAGTGTGGCGGTGGGAACAACAATTTACACGAGTATTCGGGCAGGATTGGATACATCTCACGTGGGACAGCGAGGACTGGGCTTCATTAAGATCTTCATGGATAGCGCGTCGTACATCATGGCACAAGCAGTAGTTCACTTAACCTGATGGGACCGCACTGCCAGGCCGCCCTGTGCTTACCAAGGCAGCGTCAAATGAGTCAAATGAGTCGTCCTCGTCCTCGTCCTCGTCGTCCTCGTCCTCGTCCTCGTCCTCTTCGTCGTCGTCGTCGCCGCCGTCGTTGTCGTTCGTCGTCCTCTTTGTCGTTGTCGTCGTCGTCGTCGTCGTCGTCGTCGTCGTTGTCGTCGTCGCCGTCCACCTCCCCTCGGGTCCGGGCGTGGCATTGGTTCACGCCGGGCGTTTTCGTCCAGCTCCCCAGGCCCTGGAGCCATCACGGAGCGATCCGGCTCCGAACGTGATGTGGCGGATTTCTGCAGCGTCGGATCTCAGGGTCTCACGGGGTCCTGCGAGGTCTTTTTGGATTCTATTGGACTGTTTCCCTTCCTCCTCATCCTCCTCCCTCCCTCCCTGCGCAGAGCCGTGACAGCCTCCTCCTGGCTCCACGACCTCAGAGCAGGCGATGACCGCGCACCGCCCGCGGAGTCTCTGCTGGCGTGTCTCGCGCTTGCCGGACCCTCGCACCCCGTCGTCTGCACGACGGATACACGGCATGTGCAGGATACAGCTGATGGTGTACATCTTGTTCCAGATCTTGCTGATCCCAGCTCCTGTCGTCCACACTCGCTAGGCGTTGGTGTCGTACACTGGCGCCAGGCCGCACCTTGGCGAGGACCTTCTGGCCCATGAGCTCCGTTTCGGGGGAGGGTGACGATGGCCTTCTAAGCCCCTGCTCCAGGCGAGAGACGCACGCACCCATAATTTCCATACCCCAGTCGGTGCCGTCTTTGGTGTGCACTCTTCAGAATTCTGCGGTGCCCGCCTGCTTTGTGTGGTCCTTGAGGACCCGCCAGTCCACGTCGTAGGAGACGTACCCTACGTACGTATACCAGCAAGTTCTCTCCGTGCACCTGGCTTCTTTGGCCGACGGACTTGTCGGGACTCGTGCCACCCTCCTTCAGGAGCGAAACAAGGACGTACATTTACATGAATCCACGCTGGTTTCGAGAGCACGCATTGCACAAATGTTCGTATAACGCGGCGGGTCTCGCGAATCGAGGGGCCGTGTTCATGTACATCGCTGGGCGCGTACGTCCTTTGTGGGCTCCCTACTCCTCCTCCACCTCCTTAATCTACGCCCTCCCCGTGGCCGCCCTTGCCCCTGGCGCCCTTGCCTCCGCCGCCTTTGCTGCAGCCGTCCTTCGACACACAGGCGCCCCTGCTCTTCCCCGGGCTCTTCGTCGATGTCCTCCTCCTCCTCCTCCTCCTCCCTCTTCCTCCTCCTCCTCCTCTTCCCTCCTCCTCCTCCTCCTCCTCCTCCTCCTCCTCGCGCTCATCGCCGTCATTCTTCTCCTCGTTCTCTCCGTTCCTGCACTCCGCGCGCGGTGCCCACCTGGCTCTCGGGACCTTCTGGGCCTCCCGTCTGTCCGCCGGCAGGAGCCGGACGAGGTCTCGTTGGCCTGCCCTGGCCGCGTCCTCGCAGGCGCACGCGACGTACCGGGTCGCGTCCTTCCGTCCTCGGTGCCGCCCGCGGCTGGCAGGTGACCTGCTCGGCGCTGGCGTGTTCGATCGCCGCCCGAAGGAAGCCGGGACCTCCGTGTGGGTGCAGCTGTCCTTGCACGCGGTCGCCCACGCATGTAGCTGATGCCGTCTCGTACCCAGCTGCTGCCGCCGCTGCCTGAGGGCGGCCACTGCCTGGACGGTGCCCACACTTCCACGCCTGTCCCTCTTTGCTGGAGTGCTCATGGGGTGGGCCTGGCTCCAGTTCTCCCTCCTCCACTCTGGTACCTGCCTGGGAACGGAGGTCTTGGGGCGGGCCCGGCTTGGCTTCACACCCTTCTCGCACGCACTAGTCCCAGACTATATCTGATGAGGTGCACGCGACTGTCGGCTCTTCCCGCACACGCTGTTGCCGTCATGTAGCTGATGATATCGGGTGCCACGTCTCTTGTTCATCGTATACTTATCGTGTATGTAATCGGGCTCCAGTTTGCGCGTGGAAGGTTCCAGTCCGTTATCCAGTTTGACGGGCGGTCCGACGAATGCGTTGCTCATATTCGAATAGATCTCGCGAAGTACAGCTTGTTCTGGCCACGTGAGTCGGGGTAGGGTACAACCACGTGCGCATGGCATCCTCGAGGAACGGGCCGATTTCCGTGGCAGTGCTGTCGAGGTAGTACCATTCCAGAATGTCTCCGCCTGTCGAGGTGGTTGTTTCTAGCGTCTCCTCCTCCTCGTCCTCCTCCTCCTCCTCCTCCTCCTCCTCACCGCTGCTGCCTGCCACTGCCAATTCTTCTCGCACGCACTGGACCACGCATGTAGCTGATGACGTTTGTTGGCCAACTGCATCAGCGCCGAGTCACTGCCGCTGCCGCTGCCCGCCTTCCTCTCTCGCCCCCGGTCTTCCCTGGTCGCCCAGGACGTTCCCGCACCCACCCCTGACGGCTCAGGGCTCCGGCAGGCCTTGGGAGGCCGAAGCGCAGAGAGACCGCCGCGATTGAAAACAACTCAGAGCGTGAATTACCTACCCCGCTTTCGCTTCCAGGCAAAACCAAGTCATACCACGCGCCTCCCCGTCGAGTGGCCTGACCAGTGCGTGCCGTAGTTTGGCATCGCTTGGTAGCTCTTGGAAGCGAGGGTAATCGAAAGCGAGGTAGGTTCGTTTGCCCCCTAACAACAGCTCCTCGGACCCAGACATGTGATGTCGGGATGTCTCAGCACGGGGCCCCTGAGATCCCGACCCTCTCCCCGGGGCCTTGTTCCTCATCCTGGGTCGTTTTTTTTGAGGGTCTGGGAGCCCGGCGAGGGCACCGGGGAGGAGGAGGAGGAGGAGGAGGAGGAGGAGGAGGAGGAGGAGGAGGAGGAGGAGGAGGAGGAGGAGGAGGAGGAGGAGGAGGAGGAGGAGTGAGGAGGAGGAGGAGGATGAGGAGTGAGGAGGAGGAGGAGGAGGAGCACTGGTCGTGATTCGTGCATGGGGAGGTCTGGGGAGGTGGTGCTGGCGTGCGGCGAGATGGTCGAGGAGTACGGGCTCAGCCTGGCCGCGCGCGAGCCCGCCACGGGCACCAGCGTGGGCAGCCTGGCCGGCTGCGCGACCATGCGGGTGAAGAGGCTGCCCGAGGATCGTCACGCCGCGCCTCTGCGATGGTGCTCCACAAGACCTCCGACGCGTGGAGCAAGAAATCACGGCGGATATTTTTTCGTCGTTTTCCACGTCTGCGGGCCCTCGCCGGGCCCCAGGATCGTCCAAGAGCGACCACGGACGAAAAACGGGTCCCCAGGAAATGGTCCAGAGCTCCAGGGACCATTGGAGGTCTGGATCTCGACGTCTCTCGATGATTGCTGGGTCGTTCTGGCTCCAAGGAGTACCCCGATAGATCGCTTCGCCTTTCGTGGGGCGAACGAAGTATGGCGACAACTGTATCGCCGCATCGCTACGTCGCCGGCTGTGGAACAACTGAAGTCCACGGGACAGATTGCCTTCCTACCTTTTCCCTTCTTCCGCGATCGAAGTACGCGCATCGAGTCATTTTGTTATCTCGAGCCGTGTTTCGGTCTGCGAGCGGCGCGCCGCGAACGAGTTATGAGCATCCGCTGCATCGTGTCATAGCGTCGCGATCGAACGAATTGTGGGCTCTCCTAGTTTGCCTATTCGCTTCGATCGTCGTGTCGGGCGAACGAAGTAATGGCGCGTCGTCTCGTGTTTCTTCGCTTTGAGACGGCACGCATACGTGGAGACGCGGACGCGTTTCGGGCGATTACACACAAAAGCCGCGCCCTGACGGCGCATTGATAAGATCTGGCTGAAAACACATGCGAACCTGCATGCACGAAGCCAGCGCGCCACTAAGCCAGCGCAATGCCGAGGGGGGCTAACGTTGTACCCTTGGCTCCAACGTAGTGCGAGGGATAGCTGCGCTGCGCGTCAGGGGGCGAGGAGGAGGGAGGGAGACGGGAGGAAGGCCGATCACACACTGCCATAATATTCTGCAACTGCCGACTTCCATTTCGCAGCGTCTTGAAGTATATGTTGGAGTGCTTCAGAACTGCCGGCGGCCACTTCCAGTCCACGCGAATGTAAGTATGATGTCCATCCATTGCAAGCGAGGGCGCCCTCGAGACCGGGCGCTGCGCCATGATCTTGGTAAAGCTTCGTGGCAGGGGCCACTCTGGAAAACCATTGCTCTTGGGAGGCTTCGTTGCTCTCCTGGGCTAATTTCCCATAAAACAGAAGTTGTCTTTCAAGGAGGTCAACAGATAGCCGCCGAGCCTGGGCAGTTCGTCTGACCATCTCGTTGCTGACTCTGGACACGTATGCCGGCAGTATTTTGCGTATATTTCGCAAGCATTGCGTTTGGAAGCTGTCGAGCCTGTCCTTGTCCGCCTTCAGGAGCATGCAGGATTCCAGACCATACAGGAGCTTCGAAAATACACAAGATACCTAGATCCGTTGTTTATGCTTCTTGCTGAGATTCGCGTGATTCCAACTTGTAGCAATTTTTGGACAATTCCTCGCGCCTCTCCCAGCCGTCGTGTAAGCTCTGTGAGAGGATTGCCATCCGTGCTCAATAACTCTCCCAAATACACCGAAGGGCTTTACATTGTATTGCTTCACCACCAGGTCCAAGAATGGATTCTTCCGAACGTACCCTGAGAAGCACTGTTTTGCCATCGTTCAGCTCCAGCCCGTACAACTTCCCGATTTTTGCGTCGATCTCCAGATGCGTCTGGAGAACGGCTTGGTTTTGTGCCACCAGCATGGTGTCGTCTACGTAGAGCACATCTTCGGTTACCATGTTTGGCTTCGTGAGCCTGTCGGGCCATTCCGCGGACATCTGCTGGTCCACGGTTTCAAGAAACACGGACATGACGATGATGAAAAGGTAGGGCGATAAATGGCAACCTCGGGAAGTGCCAGCTGATTGCGTACGTTGCGAAGTTCTCCCGCCTGCATCCTGGACGACCACTTTCCTGACCATGTAAATGCCCTTGATCATGTCTACCATCTCGGCCGGCACTCCAGATTGCTGCAATGCGTAAATGAGCCCAGACGTTGAAACACGATCGAAAGCCTTGCTCCAGTCAAAAAGCAAGACTAACAGCTTCCCGTCCTCATCTTTCAAGGCTACATCAATCAATCTTCGCGCCAAAAACAACTCATCGCCAGTGCTGCGGTCCGCCCTGAAACCGTACTGATATTCTCGCAGACAGAGCGTTTTCAGCACCTCCGTGTTTGAGTCTGCTCAACAGTATGCTGGCCAGAATCTTGCAGCCCACAGCAAGAAGAGATATTGGTCAGTAGTTGCTGGGTTGGGACGTGTCACTCACCTTTCTTGAAAGTTGTAGCGACTGGCGCCTCCCTCCAGTCCTCTGGGATAGTCTTGCCAACCCAACACGCATTGCACAATGATGTAAGTATCTCCAATGCGCTGTCGTTGTGAAGAAATGCGCGCCATAATTCCGGAGGTATCCTATCTGTCCCAGCAGTCCGTTGTAGTCGAAGATGTTTGACCGCCTGCCTTGTCTCTTCCAACGTAGTCGAGCCCACGTCGACGTCCATACACCTCTCTCGAGCGGCACCAGGCGTTGGAACGGCGTCTGCAGCAGGAGTTCGCCATTGCACAGTTTCTAAATTTGTTGCCATCGTGTTCGCTCGTTCTGAGGCGTCGACCAGGTTCCCCTCAGCGTCCCGGAGACGGCCATGCTTGAGTGATCGCCCTTTTCGCAATAGTTTCATTGCGTCCCAACCGTTGTTGCCGATGGAGTCCGAGAGCCATTTCTTCCTGTTTGCTTTGGCGGATTGTTGGATCATTTTGTTCAGAGACTTCTCGTCATTGCCAATGTGCCGTGCCCGGTTGCGCTGTTCGATGAGGTGGAGGGTACGATCCGATATCCAGGGACGTTCTCGCGGCACCTCCCGGCATGGGAGGGCAGCGGCGGCCGATTGCAGCATGCACCTGGCCACTGCGGAAGCTCTCCCTTGTACGGCATCGTGCCTCGGCTCTTTGAGCCAAGCTTCCACAAAGCAGTCTGCATAAAACAGGGTTAGGATCGGGATAAATCGCTCCAGAGCGTTCCGGAGCGCTCTCAGAGCGTTCCGGAACGCTCTGGAGCGGCCGCGGCGCCCAATACTTCCTCCAAACCCGCCGATTCTCAGAGATTTCGAGTTATCCCGATCCGATTTTGTCCCGATCTTCGCGTCGTCTTATCTGCATACTCCCTCTTGCTGCCAGGGCTTCCCAACGCTCTGACGTCTGGTTTTGGTTCGTGCCATCTCCTGCCTTGTCTTCGGTATGGTGTCACATCCAGGTCAACAACCTGTAACAGAATGGCGAGATTGAAGCGGTCTGTGCCGGTCACTCCAGATCTCCACCACGGATGAAAAAACCACTGCTTCTTCACAACAGCGTGGTCCAGCTGCTCGAGTCGTCCCGGCAAGATGATGTCCAAAGGCTTGGTGCCAATATCACAACACGTCACTTTGTTCTCGTCCCCAGTGTGAAAAATGTGTTTGCGACGCAAGCGTCCCACGCGCGAAATACGTATGCGGATATGGGCACGCTGCTACTATTATTATCACTACTACTACTACTACTACTACTACTTCTACTTCTACTTCTACTTCTACTCCTGCTTCTACTATGACTTCTACTGCTCTTCCTACGACTGCTACTACTATGACTACTGCTGCTATTACTACCACTACTACAACTACGACTATTAGCATTACTATTACTACTAGGATCCAGATTGCAACAACATTGCAACCACTACTACTACTACTACGACTACTACAGCTACTACTGCGACCACAACTGATACAAAGACTACGACTACTATTGCGAATGCGACAACTACTATTACGACTACGACGGGTACGGTTATATGTTATTATTAGTACTACTACTATTACTACTACTATTACTACTACTAGTACTACTACGAATACTAATCCCATTACTACTACGACTACTGCTGTCACTACTACTACGACTAATAAGAGTACTCATACTACCAGCAGTAGTTGTACTATTACTACTACTACTACTACTACTACTACTACTACTACTACTACTACTATTTCTACTACTACTACTGCTGCTGCTGCTGCTGCTACTACTACTACTGCGACGACTACTACGACTACTACTACTAACTACTACTACTACTACTACTACTACTACTACTGCTACTGCTACTGCTACTGCTACTACTACTACTGCGAATGTTACTATTTCTACTACTACCACTAGTACTAGTTCTTCTACTACTAGTACGACCCCGACTAAGATTACGATTACGACAACGACAATGACTTCGACGACGACTACTAGTACCCCCACTACTAAAACTACTACTACTTCTACTCGCGCTTCACTAGAGCTACTGTCACGGCTACCACCACTAGTAGTAGTAGTAGTAGTAGTAGTAGTAGTAGTAGTGGTACTTCTACTACTACTCAGGCTACGACTACTACTATTCCTTCTGCAGCTACTCATGCTACTACTACTACGACTACTACTACTACTACTACTGCTACTACTACTACTACTACGACCACTACTACAACTAGTACTACTACTACTGCTACTGTTTCTGCTACTACCACTAGTATTACTACTACTACTACTACTACTACTGCTACTACTACTACTACTACTGTCACTATTACTCGTACTGCTACTACTAGTAGTAGTACTACTACTTGTGCTGCCACGACTGGCACTATCACTACTACGACTAATATTACGACTACGACTACGTTTACGATTCTGACTACCACAACTACTACTATTATTGTTACTACCAGTGCTTTACCTAGTCCTACTACTACTTCTATTACAACGACTGCGGCTATTTCTATCTTCTACTACCATTATTTTAATAACCACTCCTACTACTCCTGCTACTACTGATACCACTACTACTACGATCGCTACTACTACTATTACTACTACTACTACTACTACGACTGCCACTGCTACTGCTACTACTACTACTACTACCACCACCACCACTACTACTACTACTACTACTACTACTGCTACTACCACTCTTACCACTACTACTACTACTACTACTACTACTACTACTACTACTACCACGGCGACTCCTACTACT